TCAATGAGCTCAATGCAGGCCGCCAGGTCCATGCCGAAGTCAATGAACTCCCACTCGATGCCTTCCTTCTTGTACTCCTCCTGCTCCAGCACGAACATGTGGTGGTTGAAAAACTGTTGCAGTTTCTCGTTGGTGAAGTTGATGCACAGCTGCTCCAGGCTGTTGAACTAAAAAAGAAGAAACTACAAATTAACACACAACATATAGTTAAAGGATCTTTCTCAGTTAGTTAGTTGGTTGGTTGGTTGGTTGGTTAGTTGGTGGTTGGTTCGCCCAGACACCCTCATAGAACCTCGTGCAAGAAGCAAGCTCCTTACTCCTTTCTAGTCCTTTCTTGTTGCTGTTGCTGATGGAGAAGTGTTGTTGCACTTACTAGAATTATGTCTTATGTGGAAATATCAGTCCTGAGGGACATTTCCTTGTTGTTGTTATGTGCCGTCGAGTTGTCTGCAACTTATAGCTCCCTATGTACAACAGCCCTAAACCCTGCTCTGTCCTGTGCCAATCAAACTGTCTTCGACACACCTACCCCCATTATCCCAGTCACTGAATCAATCCACCTCATAGAAGGTCTTCCTCTCCTGCACTGTCCTTCCACCCTCTCAAGCATGACGTCCTTCTCTCAAGAAAAAAATATGTATCGTTTTTAAAATAGGATCTAACTTTTTCATAAGAGATTTGTCAATGTTTTCTCTAATTCCAACTATATTAATCAAATATTTGTATTACATTTTGGTCATATAAAAATAAAAATTAAGCTAACATTTATTGAATATTTGCTAAGTGCTAAACATAAAATGCTAGCTGCTTTTTTCACATTATTGTACTTAATCCTTACAACCACCTTATAAAAGTGGTCCTATTTGCCCATTTATGATTGAAGAAGGAGACAGGAAAAGACTGAGAGAGAGATGAAATCGTCTATGTAAGGCTACTCTGATAAGGAGCACTGTGGGGTTTCGGTGCTAGCCAGAGCTGGTGGTGTTCATAGTAACTGCTGGAACTAAAGCCGATTCTTTCTGTACTCACTGTTCACACAGTTGGTCATGGTCTCATCTACAAACACTGGCACCATGTACATGAGTCAGAGGTTCTACACATAGATGAACCTTGCAGACCTTATGCTAAGGGAAGAGAGGCAATCACCGAGGACCATCTACAATATGGTCCTAAAATAAGCAGATCTGACAGCACTTGACAACAAAAGACAGAAAGCAGATTGATGATTTCTAGGGTGTAGGAAGAGAAGGGAGAGAGAGTGACCACTTGGCAGGTTTCTTGAAATGATAAAATGTTGAAAATCAATTTGTGGTGATAGTTACATATACCAATGAATACACTAAAAACTATTGAATTGTAGATTTTTAAATAGGTGTGTTGTGTAGAATGTGAATTATTTCTCCATAAGGCTATTAAAAACCAAAACTCTCAGAAATTTTTAAGCTTACACTGTCATATTTGTTTGTTTTTTATTGTTGTTATTGTTATGTACTGTGGAGTGGAACCAACCCAGAGCTGACCCTCCAGAGGATTTTTCAGAGGCAGTGAATCACATGACAGAAGATTGCTCATTTTTATCCTGAGGAGCGCTGGTGGATTCGAACCATGTGCCTCTGATTTAGTAGCTCAGCTCTTTACCACTAAGCCACCTATTAGTTTCTTTTTAAAAAAGTTTTCCTTGCTCTTGCTGACTTACTTGGTGATAAATTATCCCCTCCCTTCCACTGTCTGCTAGCAATTGTTGGATCTGCTCTTATTCTCAAAACTCAGAAATCTTCGCACATTTTCTCTCAGTTCACACATAATGTAAGGTATAGAAATGTGACTCCTGAGTTAAACATATCTGAGAAATACCATCAGGTAAATGCTATTTCACAAGCTACGTGGGAGTTTTTCTCTCTTGGATGAATGTTGAATGTCTTTACAATGCCATTGCCACCCTCTATACTTAGTTACTTCAGAGTTTAGCCTAATATTCAAATACACATTTAACTTCACTTTGTTGTTGTTGTTGTGTACCAATGAGTCAGGATCACCTCATAGCTGACCCTCCAGTGGGTTTTCAGAGGCAGTAAATCACTTGAGAGTTGACTGCCCATCTTTCTTCAAAAGAACAGCTGGTGGATTCAAACCACATGCCTTTGAGGTTTCAGCACAATTCCTTACCACTAGGGAATCTTAAAGGGAGCTCTGCTGGCCTAATGGTGAGAAGCTGCAATCCCAAAGGGACACGTGCGAATCCACCAGCTGCTCCGCAGGAGGATAGGCAGTCTCCTCCCATGCCTGCCTCTTCAAAAGTCCCCTGGAGGATCAGCTATGGGTCAGTTCTCACTTGATGGTACACAAAAACAAGGAGAAAATCTTAAAGTCTTTCTGTGAATTTGTCATAGTCTCCTCCCTACTGTGAATTGGTCAAGTGTCTCCATTTATGCTGTCATTGTCACATTTGACATTTTCTTTATCATTTGTGAGTTCTGAATGTGTGCTTTGGAGACTGTCCTAAAGTCTTTGAATTCAGAAAAGACTTCATTGGCAGTAAAAATTCGGAAGTGAGCATATAATCGGGAATACTGAATTTCAGAAGTAAGCATATAATCAGGAATGCTTTGCATACAGGTTCTAGTATCATTTGCACAAAGATCTGTCATATACTTTCTCATCATCTAAGTTCACACAGCTAGTAATTGAAGGAGTAGGAGAGTGAATCCTGGTTTATCTCATTCCAAACTTCCTGCTTATTCATGAACTTTGGGCCTTGTTTTGTGTCGTGTTCTTTTGTATTGTACATCTTTCTCACAAATCAGTTCCAATATTGATGGCAACAACAAGATGGGTAAAATTGTCTGCTAACTCACATCAAAGATCTCGAAGCCAGCAATGTCCAAGACACCGATGAAGTACTGCCGGGGCTGCTTGGTGTCCAGCTGCTGGTTGATGCGGGTGACCATCCACAGGAACATCTTCTCATAGACGGCCTTGGCCAGTGCACCCACTGAGTTGTACACCTTCACAGACAAGTGATGCTGGTTGGTTGGCATTCTTAAAGACATCTTGGGAGGCCTGGGCTGAGCACATCCTCCTGAGCTCTTGCACTCACCTGCTGCACGGTCTGCCCTTTGGTGACATACTCATTGCCGACCTTCACCCTGGGGTAGCAGAGGGCTTTGAGCAAGTCAGCAGAGTTCAAACTTTGGAGATAAGCCGCCTTGTCAGCAACTGCAGAGACATAAGTCAAGTATCCAACGTGATCCACATTGAGCCGCACAACTGATAGATCATGAGTGGATCACTTTATATAAAGTGGAGGAGTGGGTTGAGTTTGTGTATTCCCATCCACCCAAGCAGACATACGCACACCCATGTTTATCGCGGCTTTGTTCACAATAGCAAAGAGCTGGAAACAACCCAAGTGCGCATCAACAAACGAATAGAGAAGCTCTGGTATATTCACACAGTGGAATACTATGCAGCATTGAAAAACAAGGAACTCATGAAATAGAATACAAAAGGGGTGACTCTGGAGGATATTATGCTGAGTGAAATATCTCAGTCACAAAAGAACAAATATTGCATAGCGCCACTATTGTAAAACAGGAATGTCATTGGAGTTGAGGGAAGACAGAAATGGAGGGGAGGAATGATGTATACTGCATTGAAACAGATGAGAGAGAGAACTGTTTAAAAGTGATATATGATAGGGCATTATTGTCATGACAGGAGTCCAGAATCAAGGCTGCACAGTGGAGTGGACTTGAGAGGAGGGATTGCTTAACAATGAAAGAGTTTTTCTTTTACTTTTCAAGGAGATGAGTGAATTGGGGAGGAGGGGTCAGCAAGGGAGAAAAGTGCAACAATGAATGACTGGAAACCCTAAGTATCTGTAAATTTTCATGACAATTAACTTTAAAAAATATGAAAAAAAGAAAGAAATCTGAGTTTGGAATGGCCTTCTTCTGGCCTATATTTTCTTACTAAACACGGAAGGAGGTGTATTTCATACCTTCAGTGCCATCTGGCTCAGCCTGCTCCTCACGCTGCTTTTGTTTGAATTTCATGTTCCCATAGTGCATCACGGCCCCTGTGAGCTTGTAGATGGACACTCTTTCATCAGACGTGAAGCCTAGGATGTCAATGGCACTCTACCAGGAAGACAATGGGGCACAGGTTAGGAGAGTAGGGACTAACTTATTTAGGGAATTTTATACTCTTTCTGAAGGTAATCACATCTACATTAAGTTGCTATTCTCCTTATATATACTGGAATTTTTAAAAAGTGTGTGTACATGAGAGAGAGAGACTTACATCGGTGGCCATCAGTTCTTCTTGGTCATCGATGCTGGGGACAGTGATCTCTCCCTGACTGACGAAGGCGTAGTCATACGGGTTGGTGGTGATCAGGAGCATTTCTGGGTACATAAAATTCAGAGTTTTACATTAGAGTATATGGTTTACATTACAAATAATGTATAGATTAACATATAATACAGTTACATATAATGCAGATGTTATATTAACTACCATCCTGTGAATTTAAGTTCTTTCGTACCAATTAGATCTGGCTTCTTGTTGGACATGATCTGATAGAAAATATGGTAGCTTCTTTCTGCCTTCAGCTGGAAAGTGACTCTAGACTTCTCCAGAAGATCTGAAAGGGAAATAGGTTTAAGGGGCAAATTATGAGGTGATGCTGGAGCTGTTTTGAAATTTTGCATCATTAGCTAAATCTTACCAACCCCATGTTTCAGCTGCCTGTTCCCCCAGGGTACCATGCATAACAGTTCTGCAAACACTTCTGCCCTTATGTTCACAGTCTCAAGAAAGAAAAAGAAATGTCCCTGACCCAGGACCTATTCACTTCCCATACAGAAGATCCTTGACATTTGATGTATAGTTTTTATTAAAGAAAATTTCTTTTTGCCTTGTAATTGACTCAGAGGACTTTTGCTTCTCTGAGATATCCAGTCACTCTGTCGTGGAGCCACATTTGTTGAAACAGTAGCTAGACAGATTAGACTCCATCCATAAGCACATCTTAGAAAAATGTCAAGTTCATCCCGAGGCTGAGAAGGTGGCAGTTGCCAGTTGTTAGCTCATGACTCAAGTGGGCAAAGCACACATTGGGCTATGGCGAAGGCTGGCTTTCACCACCGGCATGCTTGGCAGCAGACTGGTGTGCTCCAGGCTCCAGGCGCAGCAGGCGCTTCCCAGTGCTCCTGTCATTTTTGGATTCTATTTTAGAGGGCCTGTTACTCACATGTTTCAATATCAGCAGAAGCCAGCTTGCCTGTGGTACCAAAGTGGATCCTGATGAATTTACCCTTGCAAAGTAAGAGAGATGGTGTCAGATGCGAAACTTGAAGTTACCAAGACTCAGGCTTGCTTTCTCTGTGTTTGAAGTAGAGACTAAGCCACTTACAAAGCGTGAGGAGTTGTCATTCCTCACAGTCTTGGCATTGCCAAAGGCCTCCAGCAGGGGGTTGGCGCTGATGATTTGATCTTCCAGAGTCCCCTGCAAAGAGAAGCACAGTCTGATCCTGGAGCATTTCTACCTGAGAGCCCAGCAGAGCCTTGATTCTGTCCCGGGAGGGCTGCCCCACCTGCATTTTGCCAGAAGGAGCCTCCTCTTTCTTCTTCTCTCCAGTCACTGCAATTGTTGCAAAATACTGGATGACACGCTTGGTGTTCACAGTCTTTCCTGCTCCGGATTCTCCGCTGTTCAGCACAATTCAAACATATGTGGGAAATTAAGTGTGGTGACAAGTGAAAGTGCCTCCCCCCAGCCACACTTGGTAGCTCACATATCTATTTCTATGCTTCTCTCCCAGAGAGTTCCAGGTCTTTCTCTTTGGCATTCATGGAGCTCGTATTACCTCTGTTGCTTTGCACTGACAAAGGATAGGGATGTTTATTCACTATTCAGTCTTCACTGAAGATGTATTTTATGGTTGTTTTACTGTACCAGGCTCTTTTCTAGGTTATGAGAGTTGAGGTTTGGAATGTCCAAAAAGGCAGCCACCCAACAAGTATATGATAAATGGAACAATTAGTAAGACATTTATTCTTCAGTGATATGCTTATTCTTCAGCTTCTTAGACTAGAGATGACCCAAGTTAGGCTTTTGAAGGAATAGACATTTCCTAACTTAAAGGACTAGTCCTTAAAAATAAGGGCCTGGTAATAGGCCCAAGCTTCTCTACCTTCATAAGGCTGTTATGTTTCTCCGTCCTGGGACTGTGCTCTGGTCCTGTTCAGAGATGGTGTTTTATGGCTCCTGTTCTAAGGAAAGTTCTACAGTACTTTCTAGACTAGAGTGGTGAGTACTATAATTCAGACAATTCAGTTCTTTCACATGTCCAATAAAGGGACAAAGCACCATCCAGCTACAGCCTGGTAATGTCATTTTGCTTAAGTATTAACTAATTAATGTCTCCTTTTGTCTGTCATGTTCTAATTGAAAATAAAACATTAATAAGTCTTAGAATAGGAATACATACGTGATCAAGATAGACTGATTCTCCCGGTCTAAAGAGGGAAAAAAGTGGGAGAGTTAGTATAATTATCAGGATATTGAGCCTACATGCCATTTTCAATAGATTATTATAGAATTACTTATAACTGTGATTAAGACTTTTAAATTGGAGAGTAAAAATAGAATATGTTGTCAAATCTTAAGTTCCTTAATTCCCATAGGAAATAGGTCTTTTTGGTTTGACGTAAAGGGCAATGTATTACAAAATTAGATATATTCCCTAGTTCTTGTCTGTAGATTTGCATGACATACTGTCCACAGATTCAGATATGTAGCAAAAAAAAAAAAGAATACTAAGAAGGTTGGAAGCAAGAGTGGCACTCACTTCCTAAACCACATGCCTATGGAAACTCTGTGAACTTGGAGAAACGACGATATTTATAGAAAGGCATCAGATCTTTTGTTCATAGAGTCGCTGAACCATGCTCAACTTGACAGCAGTCAACAACAACATCTTAGGAAGGATCTGTAGTTTAAAACAATCGAACATTTTCAATAAGACTGAAGTTGAAGTTTGACTTCTAAATGGGTCATTTGGATTCGTTCAAAAAGCAGCAAAAGATCCTTCTCCACATACTTCATTCTGAGTGGCTGTCCCAAAAGTGTGTCTATGGGTCAAAGGAAGACTAAAAAGAGAATGGTTCAATCAGAAGAAAACTTTTTCAAGGGAAGCAAAATAATAGCTCCTGCTTATATGTGCCTAAGTCCCAAATCCCACCTTTATTCAAGGAGAGGCTAGTATAGCTGAACCGTGTCTGATGACAAGGCTTCCAGACTTATCTAACTTAAAATCAGCAGAAACTTAAGCAATAGGAAAGACAGAGTATATGTATTCTTTTCAGATGGAATGGTCCATTTATTACTTAAAATGACTCCTGTTATCTGAGCACACAGAATGGATCATGTATTTCTTTTCTTTCCTTTCCTTTTTTAAATCATGTGTTTCTAAGCAAGGAGATTGTAAACAAATTTTGATAGGATGGATGGAGCTAAGCAGCCTGGTCTGGCCCAATCACAGACTTGGAACCAGGAGCACTGACTTGTGAATCCAGTGTGGTGATGTCTGTCTACCTCTCTGGGCCTCAGTTACTTCTATACAACCAGGAAGTTGGATTATCTATAAAGGTCTTTTTTATTTTATCTCTAACCCTTCATTATATGCGAGATAAAATAATTCTTATGGCAAAACAAAACATCACCACTCAGCTGAGTCACTCACCAGTCAGCATGAACTGATAGGCGTTGTCAGAGATGGAGAAGATGTGGGGCGGGGCCTCCTGGCGCTTTTTGCCTCGGTAGGCCGTCACCACCTCTGCGTTGTACACCGGCAGCCACTTGTAGGGGTTGACGGTGACACAGAAGAGGCCCGAGTAGGTCTGCACCAAAATAAAAAGTCAAGTCATTTCTCGGGACATCATGAATCACCCCCACCGCACCCCTCCCAGCTGTCAGGTCATGAGAATGGGCTCACGTAGATCATCCAGGCCGCGTAACGCTCTTTGAGGTTGTACAACACGGCGGGCTCGTGCAAGTGGGTCATCATGGCCATGTCCTCGATCTTGTCGTATTTGGGAGGGTTCATGGGATAGACCTGGTCATCTTTAACTGTTACAGTCTGTTGAGGTAAATGGGAAGTCAGATCAAGGGGTGTCAGCTGCCCTAACCCCAGAACACAAAGCAGAACCCTGACCCCAAAGCATCTCCAGGTGGTGTTGTACTCACAGTTCCACCTTCTGTCTTGACTGTCACCTTCCCAGACTCCCTGCTCTGCACTGTTGCCTTCACAAAAGACTCCTTGGCGTCCACCACAAAGACCGATGACTTGGCGTCGAAAGGCTTGTTCTGGGCCTCAATTCGCTCCTTTTCAGACTTTCGGAGGTAAGGAGCAGCGTCCCCAAAAACCGCCATCTCAGCGTCGGTACTCATGGCTGCAGGTCACTGTCTGCGGCCCAGTCAGAGACCCCGCCTGGCAGACGAGCGAAAGAAATACCATAGACTCAGAAGTGGAGCGATTCCTTTTGAAAAATAGCAATCCCTCCTTTATTCACGGGCTAGTTGGACACTTGACATTGTATTGGGTACAGCCACTTCCTTGGCTCAATGGTGGATGAAACGCCAGCCCCGGTGTGATGTGCCAGTGCTGACAGACACTTAATCATGCATTTGGAAAGAGGCTGTTGTTTCTGGCGCTCCTACTGTGATATTTTAGCTGCTCTCTCTGTTTCATTTGTCGTGTATTGATCTTTATAAGCGGCTTGTCTTTGGCTTATAAAGAGCATAAAGCTACTATGATGGCAAGGTGGAATCAGGGCTCTTTCATGCAAAGGTCTTTATCTTCCCAGTTGGATTATAAACTCTTTGTGAGCAAAGAACACTTCTTCTCTGGCATCCCCTTCACATCTCTTAGAAAACATGCTGGAGGCAGAGAAAGGGCCCAGAGCTGGCTTAGAGAATTAAAAAAAATAATTGAAATATGTTGCAACAATTACGGGAATTATCTTGTTGGTGGTGAAATCTTTTTATTATATCACTTGAGACTTATATAGACTATCTAATATAAAAGAAAGAAATGTCATAAGCTTTGTTTTGCATCATATTGTTTAAAATAATTCATCCTTATATATCAGTTTTTCTGTTTCTCTAAGAGTATTGAGAAATCTCACTTCTTTATGTGTCTCTATTGTTTCTCAGTGACTTATTATGAAGCATTATTACCTTTGCTTTCTTGCTCTGCTTCTAGTATCCCTAGACAATTTTCACAAAACCTCTTCTTTTAAAGAAAGATCTAGCTGTTTCTTTTAAAGAAGGAACTAGATGTTTCCAGTAGAAACACTTCTGACTACTTTCTTTCATTTATTCGTTTAGTAATCTCAATAGCCATCCAATATTCATAGTTTATAAAATTAGATACCTTTTTCCCCAGGAAAGCACAGAGCATGGATAAGCTTTCTCATTTTCACATTCAAAATTGCTATAACTCAGATAACACAAGATAACTGTGTATTGCTGAAAATTTTCATACCATGATTTAAAAAAAAAATAAAATTCCAGTTTTAAATGAGGTGCAGATCTAAGAAGCCTTTTCAAGGCAAACCTTCAATATACTTATCCATTCTATGTTATATAATCTGGAGTAGAAGTTTAGTAATTTGCATTTTTATTTATAAATGAATGGTAATATCATAAAATGTTGCATTGCACATTATAATTAAATGATTTTAAAAACAAACTACAGGGCTGAAAATGGAGAAAAATCATGTATAACACTCACAAAGTTTCTGAGAAAGCATTTTCATAGATTGCAAGGGACATGAGTTAATGAGACCATTTTCAAGTACCCCTCACAGTTTTTCAAGAAAAGCATTAAATTTAAGTTCTATCATTTTTAAAAAATTCTCCTACCACTCTCCAGAACACTGCACAAGATTCCTTGCACCCTGATGGAAATGAGAAGGGGGGGGGAACCCCAGGATCTTACCTTAGAGGTGCAACCTTGAAATGGGTCAGAACTGTAAGAAAAAAAAAAGAGAATATATCTTCTGATTAAATTATAGCAATTCCTACTATTATTATAGTTCTAAACTGTAAACTTGAAAATGGCTGGATATGCTAAGACATATAATTAAAATCACGGCAGGGTACATTGGTGCTTCCCTGGAAGGGCTGCCAGGGACATCAGGACCCAGGATGTGTGGCATGCGTGACGGCAGCCAGCGTTGATTCTTCTCATCCCTCACTGCCCTTCAGACAGAGCCTGACCTCACACACACTTACCTTGAAGCTTTATGAGGAAAGACAAGTCAGACTCATTCCAAGGGTACTTTTATAGGATCAAATATGGAAAACACTTAGCCTCCTCCTCTTTCTTAAAACATATTTGGCAAAACATGTTTTTGGCAATGAAGGTCTCCAAGCATAATTCCCCTCATATTAAAGATGTTTGGATATAATTAGAAAGATTTCCTCTCACATTGGGTTAAGTATCTGAATCAATCTCCTATAAATAATTTGAGTTGTTGGCAATCTGAAAGTGATCTGCCTTTGGAATAATGTAAGGTGTTGTTTCAAAGACAGCTCTGTTCTGGAATCCCTGGACTTTGTTGCCTCCTGCTCTTCTGTTTCACCCATTTGCCTGAGTGAAGTCTTTTCAACTGCCCAGCACAATTGCAAAACTTACTATACTCAGGAGAGGAGTTTCTCCTTTTCTCCAAGGTGTTATTAAAATATTTTTTCCAAATTTATAAGTGCTTTTTCAAGAATGCTGGCAGATTTAATCCTCACAATTGCTTTGTGCAAAGCAGCCAAAGATAGTATCTTTTGCTTCCACCAGTTGGTTGCCTCTGATTCATTATCAAATCATGTTTCCTCTTCAGGCTTGCTCCAAATTGCATTTCCTTGCTGAACTCTGAGATATCCTGCTTTCTCTTGTGTTCTTTGTACATGTTACGTGTGAAATTCTATCTCCTCAATGTAGCTCAAGATAGGAAAATATTGGAAAACAGGACAGTTCTCTTTCTAAAGCTTCTGGGACTTCTGCCCCATCAGCTACCCATGGTATATATTTAACATTTTGCTCACAAAAAAAATCTGAATATTCTTTTGAGTTTTTCATTTTATAAATATTTCACTTTCTTGTTTCTATGACCTTCCATCTCTTTATAACAATATTTCTTGTCTGTAACTGGGACCAAATTTACCTGATAGATCTCATTTTGTACTTTTAACTGTATAAACATCTTTGTTTTTAACTGGCTGGCTGAAATAAAAGGTTGTTTGTGAAAGTAGATCTGTGAGTATACTGGTTGTAGTCACATGATTGTATTACTGTAAGGGACTATGTATCTTTGTTTCCTATTAAGTTACTGAAATCCAAAGAGTGGGAGACTCTCCAGAAGTCCCACAGCTGTCTAGAATATGGTCACCTGATTAGTAGTACATCATGCCTGCTTGTCACCCCCTTCCACCTGGAGTAGCTTAAGGCCACCAGAAGGGTCACCAGGAAGTATGCATCTGATTGAGACTCCCCTTGGCAATTCTTAGCCACTTTTCTCCACAGGTACACAGTTTTACTTTCTTACGCTCTGTTCCTTGGGTCTGCAAGGTGTGAGTGATGAGGTGTGAGTTCCAGGGAAAGAAAACATTCTGATATTTTTACAGAGGATTTGATGGATATTTTAAGATAGCCTTTTAATCTATTTGGGACAAATTTGTATAACTAGAAGCAAAATTTTTATTTTGGTCATTATTGCCGATTATGAGGCACTAACATCCATTAGTGGGTGATGTGGAAACAAGGTGAATAAATACCAGTGCAGTGAACACAGTGATTTCACGGACTCCCTGTTTACACAGAACACTGTTCCAATGTTACACAGTGAGCCCAGTGTGCCTGTTAAACCACTTCCACGCATCTGAGTTCAAGCATTCTCACACAATACCCTTAAGTAAGATACTCTTACTTTCTATGTTGGTGATAAATGACCCTTTAGGGTTTTTTTAATGACCTCTGGGAATGTTTGGTTTTGGCTATACCTCTCCTTGAATCAAATTTTAAATCTTTATCTTCCAGGACAAATTCTATGAATAACGATATTGCTACCATTTCTATTTTTGGGGGGCACCAAACTCATGCTTATCCTTAAATTTATTACATTAGGATAATCTATCTTGAGATTTACAGTTTAATGGCAGTTTTAGTCATTTGTTTAAGCTTTTTACTTGAATAGTAAATTGGTTGTGAAGTATAGCTTGTTGACACTATTTTGTAGTGTAACAGTAATATTTACTGTTGTCTCCTGACTTTATGGCCACCCTGTAGGTTTCATAGGAATGGGAGTAACATTTTATCCTTTCAAATCCATAATGTTACTGACTTAATTGTGCCCCCCAAAAATGAGGGTGGTAATTTCTAACTTCTATACTATGGTTATAATGCCAATTGGGAAATAAGTTGATTTTTTTGGTTAATGAGGTAAGATTACATATTCAGTTAATCTCTTCTGAAATATAGAAGAGAATGAGCAAACTCAGAAGCAGTGATGAGGAAGGACACATTAAATCACCTGAAGATCAAGAAGCTCAAGAAAGACAAAGACCTCACTTCAGAGTTGAAAGAGAGAGAACGGGCCTTCCGCTGGAGCCAACATACTGAATTCAGACTTCTAGTCTCCTAAACTTTGAAAAGAGGAATTTCTGTTTGTTAAATAAAGCTGTTCGTGGTATAGCAGCAATAGATAACTAAGAAACACTCCATATGGTCGTTCTGTTTATTGCCATCAATGGTAAAAACCTTTATGGGTTAGTAACAAAACTGTGGCTTTGTATTTTTGTAATTATTGTACTTGTTGAGTACCATGGACTGCTAGGAAAACAAACAGGTTCATCCTGGAAAGGGTTAAACCGGGTGGCTCCTTGGAGACAAGGATTCTAACATACTTTGGACATGCTGTGAGGAGAGACCGGTCCTTGGAGAAGGACATCATGCCTGGGAGGGTGGAGGGACAGCACAGGAGGGGAAGGCCATCTATGAGGTGGATTGGTTCAGTGACTGGGATAATCAGGATGGGAGTGTCAGAGACAGTGCGACTGGCACAGGACAGAGCAGAACAGGACAGGCTGTTGTACATAGGGTCGCTATGAGTCACAAGTGATTCAACAGCACATAACAACAACAACAACATGTGCCATCAAGTCAGAACTGACTCATAGCTGACCCTCCAGTAGTTTTTCAGAGGCAGTAAATTGGTCAAGCAAGAATACCCATCCTTCTCTAGCGAAGCTGTTGATGGGTTTGAACTGCATGCTTTTGGGACTGAAGCAAAGCTTCTTACCACTAGGCCACCAGAGATCCCTTTCTATTCCAAGTAATAAGTAATGACAAGAAATTATACAGTTTGGTCGGAATTGCCAATATAAGAACAAACACAGTGCCATCCTTCACATAAACTTGTAAAATTAGGTTCATGTTAAGGAAAACAGGAGATGTTGAATAAAGGTTGGATGAAGGGGAAGACAATATAAAGTAAAATATTAGTCAGACACTGTCATTAATTACTCTAGTCAGTTGTAACTAATGTTATAAAACAAATTATGAATGAATGAAAAATCAATATAATTTTGTAAACTTTCTCTCAAATAAAAAAATTTTAAAAAGTAAAAATGACTTCTAGATTTCTGATCATTAAAACAGGCTTCCTTTATAAGCAAAACTTTTATAATCTTTAAGTGTTACTATAAACGTTAAATGAAAGAAAGGCGCAAGTACTTCATAATGGCAGCTTCACTGTAGTTATTTGATAACTTTGTAATTATTCAAACCTTGCCATTACTTTATAGGAGAGAGAAAAGACAAGACCAATCTAAAGATACCATTTGCAAAGTTCTTTTACTCTTTATTTCCTTTGCCATCGGGAAAAATTGGCAATCATTATGGAAAGACATGACTGAAGGTTTCACATTGTGTGCCTCTCTCCAGTCATTCTGTAGCCTCATGGCCTTCACTCTTCACTTATGACTTTGGTATGAACCTCCCGGCTCTTCACCCGCAGCTTGTTGACCTGGGACTCCGCGATGTCAGCCCGCTCCTCGGCCTCCTCCAGCTCATGCTGGATCTTGCGGAATTTTGATAGATTGGTGTTGGATTGTTCCTCCTAAGAATAAAAATGAAATTGTAAGGAACCCATCTTATGCATCTCTGTAGACTCTGTAGGTCTTAAGAGCAGAAAGGACTATTGGAGAAGCATGCAAGAATAAGGTGGTGATTTTAATTCAAATTTTATCTTTACTACAGTGCCTTTACAATGAAATATATGTTGAATATAAGCATATATATTTTTTAACATCTCCAAACTGAAGTGGTTTCCCCCCTTCCCTCCTATTTTAGATGTAAGGATTCTGTTGAAAGATTCCACAATATAGAATATCCCTTACGGTGTAGGAATTGAATCTAGTAAATTATGGATGAACTTTTTTCCCAGTAAGTAAAGGTGTCAAGTGTTTTGCAATCTGCATCTCTCCATTTTCAGAAGCAGTTATGAAATGACTTATTTAGTCAGCTTGGCAATTTACATTATCTTTGGGGGGAGGGAAATGATCTATTGAAGATTTTGACTGTATTGACAGTATTACCTTTCTTTAAAAAAATTCATTTAGTTTGTTTATTTTTCATTTCAATGAACATCTACAGAGATTTTGGAATTCCATTCATTCATTGTTGCACCCTTCTCCCCCCACAAACGCCTACCCCCTACCTCCCCGTTTGCTCCTCTCCTTGAAAAGCAAAAGAAAAACTCCCTCATTGGTACACAATCCCCCCGCACCTCCCCAAACCCCACCCCCTACCCCCAAATATAATCCACTCTGCAACCCTCATTGCACACTCCTACGATAAAAATAATGCCCTAAAATATAATACTTTTAGACTATTCTCTCCCCCATAGACTTCAATGCCGTAAACATATTTCATCCAGTTTTTCTCAGTCTTACCCCCACCCCAGTGCCAGCCTCATTCTACAACAGTGGCACCATATAGCATTTGTCCCTTTGTGAGAATTACCTTTTAACTGTTTAAAAAGAATTGTCTGTGGGAATGGTTTAGCCTTTCTCATTCCTACTATTAGGGATTTGCATGTTCTCTAATTTTCTTTGATTAAATTAGTTATCAGCATATTAATTAATCTGCAGAGAACTTGATATTATACTTATCGGCATTTAATTATATGAAATTAGAAGTTATTAGATATTATTTAAATCACCAAAATAGAAAAGAGTATCCTCTAACTCATTAGTTTCTATCTTTATAATTGACAGTTCTTACTTCCATGGTTTTATTTTTATTACTTATAACTTTTCAATTGTACTATCAGGTATTTCACTTATCATTGATTAATAATAAAAGTATTTAGAACTATGAATTGACCTCCAAAGTCAGTTTTGACTACATTTATAAGTGTATAAGTAATTATATTCTTTGTAATTTCTCTTTAAATATAATTATTTCTAATCATATTTTTAGTTCCAACTCAACAAAAAACTCAGTGTTTTTTAAAAAATATTTAGGTATTTTGGAATTTTTGTTTCTATTTTCTAATTTTATCCCAATCTTATTACATTATATCCAGACAATATGGCCTATATATTATTTTGGCTTTAAATTTTTGAGGGGCTTTATTAAGAAATAAAATTTTACTTTTAGGTAAAACAAACTATTAATATACAAATTATCAAAATGATGCAAATTTTAAATTATTTTAAAAGTATACAGTATCCTATACAGCAGTTTATTTCTACCAAGGAGTAATAAATTTAATCATTTTTATATGCTTTTCTTAACTCAAAGATGTCTCCATTTTATTCTATGTTAGAGATACTTACAGCCTCCTCAGCTTGTCTCTTGTAAGATTTTACTTTTGCCTGAAGTTTATCTACCAAGTCTTGAAGTCTGAGAATATTTTTGCGATCTTCTTCTGTCTAAAAGATTATAAAAACAGTAGGACTTTATTTTAAAAGCAAGTAGGACTTTATTTTAAAAGCAAGTGACAAGTGCATCATTGCATGTGAATATTTCATATATGTATGTAGAGTGATAGGGAAAGGCAATTGCCATACCTGGTAGGTGAGTTCCTTCACTCTCCTCTCATGTTTGCGAAGACCCTTAACAGCCTCAGCATTCCGCTTTTGCTCACCCTCAACTTCTCCTTCGAGCTCACGTACCTACACATAAATAGAACTATAAGAAGCACATTTCTCTCATAAGGTGTTTGGGAACAGAGGAAAATAAGCTGATGTTTGGAGACCCACCCTGGCCTCCAGTTTCTGGATCTGCTTCTTGCCACCCTTCAGGGCCAGCTGCTCAGCCTCATCCAGACGGTGCTGCAGGTCCTTCACGGTCTGTTCCATGTTCTTCTTCATCCTCTCCAGGTGGGCGCTGGTGTCCTGCTCCTTCTTCAGCTCCTCGGCCATCATAGCGGCCTGGTGAGAAAATAAACCAAAGGACTCAATAAGATACAGCTGTCGAGAATTTCGACGCTGAATAAATGTAGGCGTGCATCTGCTTCTCACGTCAGTGATGGCCTTCTTGGCCTTCTCTTCAGCGTTGCGGGCTTCCTGGACAATGTCCTCCATCTCTCCTTGGATTTGGGAAATGTCTGTCTCGAGCTTCTTCTTGGTGTTGATCAGGCTGGTGTTCTGTTTAAAAATAAGTTACGAATACAACTTTCATCTTGTCATCATGGTACTTACTAGTAGCCATTTTTTTGAAAGCCAGTTTAGATAGAAATTCACAAGTCAAAACTCCCGTTAGAAATGGTATTAAATCTTGTTGTTGAGTACCACCGTTGAATCAGAATCAATAGCTGACTCTCTGGAGGATTTTTAGAATCAGTTAATCACGGGAGGAGATTACCCATTTTTTTTCTCCCATAGAGCAGCTGGTGGATTTGAATCTCCTGTCTTTGAGATTGCAGTGCAGTTTCTTATCATTAAGCCACCGGAGCTCTGTGACATTAAATGTTAAGTTAAATATATAGTTCAAATATATAAAGTAT